CTGTTGAAGATGAGTGTGAAGATGGGGGCCAGCTGATCAGTGCACACTTTCAAGCAGGAGGGGGTCACGCCATCTGGGCCTGGTGCCTTTCTAATCTTTTGTCTTTTAAAGAGGCCGCGCACATCCTTTTCACAGATCGTTAGAGGTGGGGGCTGGAGGGAAGGGTGGTGGTTGTCGGGGGTGCAGCTGCTGGATCTGAGGTGGGGAGGGTGAGGGGGGAGTGTTGACTGTCAAACCTGCAGTAGAATGTATTCAGGTCATCTGCCAGTTGACAGTCCTCCACAGCAGGGGGGGATGGTTTTCTATAGCCAGTGATGGTTTTCAAGCTCCCCCACACAGACGAGGGGTCATTGGCTGAAACCTGAGCTTTTAGCTTTTCAGAGTAGCTCCTCTTTGCTGCTCTGATGTCCCTTATCAGTGTGTTCCTTGCCTGGTTGTACAGAGTCCTGTCCCCAGTTCTGTAAGCCTCCTCTTTGGCACGACGAAGCTGCTCGAGTCTGGCTGTAAACCAGGGCTTGTTGTTGTTGTATGTGCAGAAGGTCTTTTTGGGCACACACACATCCTCACAGAAACCGATATAAGATGTCACAGTGTCAGTGAGCTCATCCAGGTCTGTAGCTGCAGTCTCAAATACACTCCAGTCTGTAGCTCTGACTTAGCCTCCTCAGTCCAGCTCTTCACTGTTTTGACCACAGGCTTTGCAGCTTTACGTTTCTGCCTGTATGTTGGAATAAGATGGACCATACAGTGATCAGAGAGTCAGAGGGCTGCGCGAGGGACAGAGTGATAGGCATCTTTTATTGTTGTGTAGCAATGGTCCAGTGTGACTTTGTCCCTGGTTGGACAGGTGACGTGCTGTGTGTATTTTGGCAGTTCGTGGGAGAGATTTGCTCTGTTAAAGTCCCCTAGAACAATGAGTGGAGAGTCGGGATGTTCTAGCTCCAGGCTAGTTATCAGTTCTGACAGGAGCTGTAGTGTGCTAGCGTTAGCCTGCGGTGTTATGTACACTCCCATTAGCATGAAGCTGTTGAATTCACGGGGACAGTAAAAGGGTTTGCATTTGATAACAAGAGTCTCTAGGTCTGCGGTACATGTCCTCTGTAGCACTGTGACATCTGTGCACCAACCTTCATTTATGTAGAAGCAGATTCCACTTCCTCCCGTTTCCCGGACAGCTCCTTTACACGATCCGCTCTGAACACCTGGAATCCCGGTATTCGAATCGTGCTGTCCACGATCGAGTCGCTGAGCCAGGTCTCCGTTTAGCACAAAGCAGCAGAGTGTGCAAAGTCAGAGTTAGTCCTGTTGATGGAATAATTTCATCCATTTTGTTGAAGAGGGAGCGGAGATTAGCCAGGTGAATAGATGGGAGTGCGGTCCGAGTTTGTTGTGTTGTGTTATACTAATAAGAACCCGGAAAGGGCGCTACGAACTGGTGTGTGGGAAGGTACTGCAAGAGTCTGGGAGGAGGAATAAGAGGAGATGGAGAAATAAAGTGTGTAAAAGTACAGTTATGTCCGGGACGTTATTATAATACAGGACACCACCGAGTTCCCCTCTGTCGTAACCGCACCAAAGTGACAGAGCATTTCCCACGCGTCTTTTCCAGGTCCCGTATATCGCTGCTGCACCTCCGATCAGAATGACCATACAGCATTCATCGTTCACAAAAATCGGAGGAAGGTAGTTTGGTGTGAGTTGTCCGATATTTAACAGTTCTTCTCTGGTAAAGTAATCCGGGATGAGTTGCACAAAACCAAGAAAACAAAGAAAATCAACAAACACATGACACCGCCATCACTGTTGGCGCCAGAAGCAAAGCCAACTGGAAATTGCAATTAAAATCAAATAAAGAACTTAAACATTAGACTTGCCTTCCTCAGCAAAGCTACCTAGTTATATATATATATATATATAAAGAATGTAAATGTAAGAGTCAGACAAGAAATACTTAATCAGACAAAATGAAAAATTATTGTATTAATGTTTTTGTATAGCTTCATTTTGGTGAACACTTTGGGTTAAGAAATTTAATGAGATACATATTTTAGGTACTGCTAATTATATATTTCATAGGCCTAATTTAAAACTGTTGTATGTGTAGATTGTGAAACTATATTAAAAGTGCAGCTGACGATTCATTTAAATGGTGGAGTAGCAATGGGCCATTTAGGAATGAGGTAACGAGAGAGACCGAGTATCTGTTGTCCTACGGTCTTTAAACTACTCACGTGAGCTGGAAGAAGTTGTGCTTCCTCCCATGATGCGAAGCAGCGATAAAGTTGGGACACAAACATCTCCCCAGTATCACAGTGGTTTGTGGGCGGCTTGTGTTTAACGCTAAGCTGACGACTTGCTCCGTGTGCCGCGGCTCTAATAAAACATGGGCTAGATATCTCCAGAAACCACTAAGACGACAGCTTAGACTACTCGGGCATATTTTGAACGCAATTCTGTATGTATACAACAAACGCTCAACACGAACGTTTAGGTAACATCATGCTCGATTCCAGAAGCAGGCGTCACCAAACCCAGTAGAAAAAACCGTAAACTTTCACAGTCCAGTGTCCATACCACAGAGGACAAAGGGACCAGAACCGCAGAGCACTGAGTGTGAGCAACAGAAAGCTTCACTACACGCATCGGCTCCCGTAGAGTCCACAACTAAAGGCCATTAATTACTAAAACTTCAACATAATCCTGAGTTTCTCAGTTTGCAGTTCCCTGTCTCTTTGAATAAATTCTAATGTTGACGAACACAGACATTGTGCACCCACCCTGTGTTCGGCAGCATCGTTGAATTCAGGTGAGAAGCAAAGGGCGACGGGACCTTCCGCAGGGTTTCTGTCGGTTCTTAACAATAACGTCTCCTACACCTTTCACCCACTTCAAGAGCCAACCGGAAGTTAGACACTTACTCTGCCCCACTTCCGGTCTGCAGGCGAAGATTTACAGGGATCAGCGAGATGTCAAACTTTACCTACTATTACTAATACTAACTATATTATAGAACGCCCTTTTAATACAGGGTTTACAAACTGCTTTACATACATTATATAATATAAAAAACATGGTATTAAAAAAATCAGCCTGTAAAGTTATACTTAAGGCTCTCTTTTAATCTTGACACTGTCTTTGACTGTTATAAAAGTCTTAACAGGAGGTTGTCGTCACTGTCCAGATCCTTCCTAATCATAACACATTGACAGCTAAATCTCATAATTTCTCAGACCTCCTGTGCAAAAAACACCTCGCGCTGTTTAATACATCCCAGATAAGTATTATCTATAAGAATATGCTTATTAAATGTGTCAATTTATAGCCTCTTTCTGTTATTGACAATAGGCCTATATTTCAGAGTCCTGCCCTTAATGTGTAGTCATATATATATATATATATATACACACACACACACACACACACACACACATACACACACCAGTATTTACGGTAATAAGTGGACAGATAGATAGTGTAAAATATCACGAGGACTCAACAAGTGACTTCTGTGACCTTCTGAACAAAGGTTCAGGGTTTCACCACTGAGTTTATTCAGATATTTGTACAGTTTACTTACTGTATGTAGTTTCTTTTATTTCTTTATAAACATGCTCCTGCATATATGAACATCCTAAACAAAACTAAATGCTTACTAAACAATCCATTCCATTTAAAAAATATTCAGTATGATTCCTGCCAAACAGTCACAAACTTCAAGCTCTTCACAATGAAAAAGCAACACCATATGAGGTGAGACATTAACAACAACAAAACAAAACAACAAAAGGCAACAGGTAACTGGGAGAGGCAAGGCTGATTTATTTACAGGCTATTGATCATTTCATGCCAAAGGCAAAAGAACGTGCTTTATAAAAATGTATACAAGTGAACTTTGTGATTCTATTCCAAATAGGAAAGCAAAACAGAAAAAAAATAAAAACCTCTGTTTTTCAAATTTATCCCACACATTCCTACGTTTTCTCGCTATAGCCTATGACTTATTGATTATTATTGATCCTTCTGATCTGAGGCGTGTCCGCCATCCGCCATGTTCTCCTGCGACGTCACCAAACGGGAAGTGAACTCGTTATTCTCCATTCGCTGCCTGGCTGCTGAACGGGAGGCTCGCGGATCAAAACAACTTTTCCTCTTGTCTTCTTCCTCCTCGCGGACCATGGACGGGTGAGCGCGGGAAACCCTCCCGAACCTTTCCCGAACATTGCCTGGTTTTCTTTCCTTCCTTCCTTCCTTTCCTCCCTCGTGTTTCCTTGGTGACTGAACCGCACCTGCCCTCGCCCCTGGCGTCAGCCCCTTGCCCCTGTTTGTTGTTTGCTGAAACATTTCCCGCCACAGAACCTCATCTGCGTTCCATCCTCGCGCTCCTCCCGCGCTGGTCGTCGGGCGTGTTGCGCCTTTTTTGGGGTTTGTTTTGGTTGAAAGTGTCGCGAGCAAACAGAGCAGCGGGGTTTGATTGGCCAAAATCCCGCGATACCTTTGTGTGTACAGGAAAACAGCAAGAAGCGCAACTTTCATTTTCTGTCAATTTGTTCGTGCTTTAGTCTGTGAAATAACCAGTGTCCTCAGTGAGGCGCGTTTATGTTCCTGTTTATGTCCATGTTCAGGGCATCAGCAGCCCGCTAACGTAGAAAACGACCGTTTTTAGCTTGTAAACACCAAAGTGATTGGTCAAACAGCCCAGGATGAAAGCTGAAACGATTAATCAGCATCTGTTCCATTTGTCGATTCATCATCGTCTCACATGCTCAGTTTTGACTCCTAAATTGAATATCTCTGGGTTTGTTAGTTAGACAAGACAACATTAAAAGACGTCTGTCTATATTTGGGAAAACTGATGACTTCAGCTAAAACTATTATGACTAAACAATTAGGCGTTTGGCAGAAATTCAGCAGGTACTGTGATAACTGATCTGAAATTTTTAAAAAAATTCAGCGTTCTCTGAAGTCTTCATGATGAGTTTTGGACAGCTGAAGAGGTTACCTTGGGCTTTATGACATTTCTCACTCTTTTCTTGGTTATATACCAACTCAACTTTATTTATAGAGCACTTTAACACAGCCAAAGCCAAACAAAGTGCTTAACATAAGATTCGATTTAAAACATATAACATGTGAACAACTACATTAATAAGAATAAAACAATAAAATAAAATAAATGAACCAAGACAGCAAAATAACAAAATAGTATCCAAAACCAAAACTCAGCAAACAGAGTCTCATGCCATATGATACGCCAAGGCATACAAATGGGTCTTCAAGTAAGTTTTAAAAATGGCCAACGAGGGGGCCTGCCTAATGTAAAGAGGCAGCGCATTCCATAGCCTGGGAGCCACAATGGAAAACGCTCTGTCCCCTCTAAGTTTACGCCTAGCCCTTGGTACCCCCAGCCAGAGCTGGTCAGGTGATCTGAGGCACCGAGAGGGACTACAAGGAAATAAAACTTCAAGAAGGTACAGTGGTGCAAGACCACTTAAAGACTTAAAAACAAATAAAAGAATCTTAAAATGAATCCTAAAGGACACCGGGAGCCAGTGAAGGGATGCCAAAATAGGGGTTATATGCTCCCTTTTACGCACTCCAACCAATAGACGGGTGTCGTGGCAAGAGTGAGATACCAACTAAATTAATTCAGACAAACCATTACAATTTAAAGGATCATTTAATATTACAATTATTCTGAGTAGAGTAGCATCTAAACAGATAATCTTATAGTTAGGGAACAGAGAACAGAGGACAGAGACTCTCCTCCTGCAATGAAATAGATAAAGCCTAAATTGGTCGGAGCACCAGTCAGTCAGGTCAGGTCCTTTGTTACCAGTCCTGGGTCAGTCAGCCCCAGTCAGTCTTCTTCTCCCCAGCCGGCTGGGTCTCTAAAAGGTACCTCGTCCACCGTTTACTGCAGCATGGTCATCTCCTCTCTATCCCTGGCTCCCTCAGGCTCACTTCTCTTTTTCAGCTCAGCCACTAGCTACTTCTCAACAGCTGGACTCTGTCCCCCTTGACGTCTCTGCGACCCCCCTTCTCACTCCATTCCAGGAAGACAGGAAGGTTGACTCCCAATCTTCTGGCGCAGAGGGTTCATCTCTGACCATACTAGGCCTTAACTAGGATTCTAAGTATTAATTATATAACCACTTACATAAGCCCATTGTCCACCTCACATGAACTTAATAAACCCATAATCACTCAGCTCTCCCTTACACGAGCTAGTACCAAATAAGGTCTATATTGAGCTACATACTGTTCCATTACATATTTCCTCTGGAATAGGGTTTATTTTTTCACCACTACAGTCCCCCCTTCCGTGGTTTTTAAACCATGGAACATCGGAACTCAGAATAGGTAAAATCAAAATATGACCATGTTGGCCTGAGACTTTAACGCCTCTAAACTCTGTCGGCTGTAGTCAAACGCTGACCTCTTCCTACAGCTAAAATTAAGTCTAAAATAATTTCCGTATTACAAAACTAACAACTCCTCAATTAACCTTAACCTTAACAGAGTCTTTCTCACATACTCCAGTGAAACCCAACTTAAACAACTCAGTCGGTCAAGTCTCTAACGTCTCACACCTTTGCAGAGTCAGTAGTAATTAACTATGGTGAACAAATCAACTGTATGAGATAACACACAACTTCCCATTCAGAACAGTCAGACAAATGAACAAACATGAACATAAAAGCGAACAGAAATAAAATCAAAATATGAATAAACAGAAATAAACAACCAGCATGAGGTAACTGTTCCCCTTGTAAGACACAAGTTCACGACAGAAACATTCATGGACACATATATCTGAATATATCACTTCCTGATCAAATACCAATACCTCCTAATACTAATCAATGAACCCAAGGAACACTACAAATCACTAATTAAACCTGATCTTCCTATCCTAATCCAAAAGGAAAATAGAGATCAACTTTTATTTTAACGACAAACTTTTGATCTAACAGAACAATTCTACACTAAACAATTTCCCTATACTCTAAAAAACATGCTCGTATGCACTATAAGTACTGCTTTAGCATGACAGAACTCTCTACTTTCTGATTTCTAAGTTCTAATTTGCAAATTTCCTAATACTTTCCAATTGAACGTATAACACACTGAAAATGAACAGTCATAGAAAAGAAAGAATAAGATCCTCTTTCCCCCACATAACACCACAGTTTCAATTACACACACGTCTGTACTGTTAAACAAACAGCTTCAATTCTGCTACAACTCTGCTCGCTCCAAGTCCAGACAAAAACCCTGACGGGCAAAATTTCTGGACGACCCCCATCCTTTCCTTTTGAGACGTAAAAACCCCAATGATCACGAATGCTGGGGAAAACCGTCTTCCCTTTTGGGCGGTCACCAACGAGGCCTGCAGCAAACTAAATCCTGAAACTGAATTCAAAATGTAACATAACTATAACACAAGACATTTGTAATGTAGCTAAACTACTTATATAAAGCTCTAGCCAAAAATCTTCTACTAAGAGATGAGCTATGAAAATACTCAGTGACAATATATGAATGACAAGATACTAACTTCTAAGGTAACTAACTGCTATGCATGAATTGTGTATGTTTTGTGTTGTTTCTGACTATATAAAAGCCATACTGTAGATATTAGTCCAGGATAGGGTTTTACAATGCAGAATTGTGTACAACATGAATGCGTAAAATATAACATCCAAGTCCATTGTCCTTTGATCAGTTCAGTTCCCTGCAGTTTCACTCTGTCACCACTCGCTTTCTATGAACTGAACTGATCTATGCAGCAATACTTCAATCTTGTCAGTAATGATACTGAATAAAAGTAAGTATTACTCTGTCACCACTCGCTTTCTTCCATCCTCAATTCGGCTGCAATGTCTCTCTCTCACGACTTCTTGACTACATGACTGATCTCAGTACCTCTGAGTCCCTCCTCATGAGGGTCAGAACACAACTGGGTCATAACCAGTATTGTCATCAAGGTGAGCATCAGCTTCACTTGCACTCCCTCCTCATCCAAGGACTCCCTTGGATCACATCGTCTCCTCATGGAATCAGGATCAGCTCCAAGCCACCTCTGTCCTGGGGGCTTTCACCATGTACGGGCCTCCTTCGTAAAGGCGGGCTCTCTCCTCCTCCGAGGCACTTTCACATACACGACATCTCCGTCACTCATCTTGGGCTCTCTGTCCTTTAAGGCCTCTTTGTCCTGCAAAGAGGAAACACAAACAACACAGACCACACAGGAGCCAATACTCCTGCACATAGTATTAAGTAGTCTAACACAAAATCTCATTTCCTTATCAGGAAGCCAAAACTTGTGTTAACCTTACAAAGCAGCACTCTATAGACTACACCTAAATCTCCTATCTTTAAAGCTAAACAACCTCTCAACAATTAATCAGAATTGGAAACTAAAATATTTTTATCTCTCATTCATCAGAAGGTGACAAGTGTGGGTTTAAGGGCCAATCTGTGACTTCTGTAGGAAGAGATTTCAACATCCATACATGCAATCCAGCGAGGGTTAACACACACTGAGCAGAAAACACACAAAAACTAAAAAAACTATCATTTATCCATTGTCAATAAGAAGAAAAGTGTATTATAAGCAGAAAAATGTACTTGCATCTGCATGAAAATATTACTAAATCTGGATGAAACATCTAATTTAATTAGGTTGTGACAACTTAACCAGAAGTGCAAACAACAGTAAACTTTACCTTATATCCAGGTTACCTCCTGAAGAGAATCCTCCTGTACTGAAGGTACAGAAAACAGGAAATGAGTACGGTTTACCGCAGGAAACAGCAGTCCGTCAAAGGTTCCGCATAGATGGCCTCTTGTCCAGCGGTGGTAGGATAGAACAAAGTAAGCAGAGAAACAACAGTGACTACTAACACTGGCAGAGGTAGAGAGCATCAGCCATGTTGTCACTGTTTGGTGGTTGTGCTGTACTTTTATGATACAGGTAGCCTGGAACAGCAAGCTGATCAAAGGCAGCAGCAAACGGGCCCACAGTCGAAGAATTAAATATCCGGCCACGTTGAGTAGGGACGTGCAACTTACCCCTCTACACAAAACAGGCCAGACTCAAATACAATAGGCATATGATCAGAAAAACATTTACACCAATATCAACTTCTGACATAGAGACACCATAGGAAATAACAAGATCCAACGTATGGCCCTGTTCATGCGTTGGACCAGACACATGGTACCAAGTTAAAAGCATCAATAATAGCTAAAAAAATCTCTTACCAACGGTTTATTGGGACAACACACATGTAGATTTAAATCACCTAGAATAAGAAACCGATCATAATGAGGCATGATACCATCCAAAAAGTCAGAAAAGTCACTCACAAAATCCTTATTATACTTAGGTAGTCTATAAACAACCACACACAGAACAGGGTCCGAGCAGCCCACCTCACATACAGTCATTTCAAAACTGGAAAATGTAGGTAAAGGTAGAGCACACTGTCTACATTTAAGATCGTTTCTAAAAACGACCGCTGTTCCTCCACCCCGGCCAGACGTTCGTGGCGAGCTAAAATAGGAACATCCATCCGGTAAGAGTTCAGCGAAGGCAGAGCAGTCGCCGGCACCAACCCCCAAACCCAGGTTTCTGTCAAAAACAGGAAATTCAGGTCCCGGGAGCCAAAAAAATCCCTCAATATGAAAGTTTTATTGGTTAGCGATCGGGCATTCACCAAGCCAATCCTTGCCACAGCTAGTCGAGAAGTTGGTGGAAGCGTCGTCAAGACACGATGACTCACCCCACTACGGCGAAGCCGAAAGAAACAGGGCCGTCTGGATCGAAGACCTCTACCGCCACCCACAACAGGCACCAGGCAAACACAGGTGGAATCCAAAAAACGCAGAGGCACCACAAAAAAAGAACACAGTCCCCGGTCCACCCGAGAAAAAGAAGGATGTGACAAACAGGCCTTCAGCTTCACCAACTGTCCACCACGCCTGCCCCGGCAGTGGGTACGTTTCAGGGAAAAAAGTAACACCGATGTCCGGAGAAGATAAGTCGGAACTCCCGACAAGACCGGCGGAATCGTCCTATGCCCACCACGATCCAATACACATAAACCATCATTATTAAATTGAAGATTCAAAAGGGATTGGCGGTCATATACCAGCAGGGACTCAGTTCGCAGGGCACCAAAAACAAATAGTAGCACAAACACCAACCAACATGAGAGCAATAGACACTGGCGCCATCTTTCACATGACAAATTGATTAATCAAGAACACCAGTGACAGATTTATTAAAAATGAAAGTAATCACTAGTTAGCCCTAATAAATACTACCTCAACCAGCAGCCATTACCAAGCTAAGCTTAATGGGGGATCTGGTGGGTTAAACTCTGATACTGTACCTTACTATGTAAAGTGCCCTGAGCTGGTTTTTGTTGTGCTTTGGTGCTATGTAAATAAAACTGAACTGAAATTAATTGCTTTATGATCATTAACTTGTTTGACAAAATAAAGAAGAATAGATTGATGACCGCAGGAGCCAGAGGTGATCAATTGTCTATCAGTGATGTATGGTAATAATATGGAAGATACAGATGTTTGCCTAAGCCCAGCTGCTGTTTTCTGCATGTTACCTGTTCTGCAACAAATGTAAATCATTTACCAACCTGAGTTCATTCAGTTTCCAGAAACTTCTCAAGTCAGTGTGTGGACACACGACAGTAATGTTCATCTGGTTGTGTTTTCCTGTAGGAATCAGTGTTTACTTCATCTCTCAGCTGCTCTGCGAACATGAGCACCTCCAACCTGTCAACAGGTGAGACCAGACAGCAAAGCTCCACCTGAAACCCCACTGACAGTGTCATGGCACAAACCATCATTTTATGCACCTGTGTGTTTGTGTCTCTCCACAGTGGATGGCACTGATAGGCTGTGTGTTTCTGAGCGTGTTCTTTTTGGTTTTGTTCCCGTCGTCAGCGTCCTGCTGACGTCTCTGAACAGGAAGTGCTTGCTCTGGCTGTTCCTTTCGGCCGAGTTAATAAGCTGATCACACTGAAGACCAAAAACCAGGTAACTGCTAACATGCTGAAGATGGAACTTAGCGACATGTTTAAGTACCTCTGTAAGTTTTGTAATTAAAACAAACTAGTCAGGCCAAAACTAGCTTAATTTTATTTTCCACAGGCCTTTCTAAAACGGTTCTCCATAAACAGCATTTTTAATTGAGTTATTTTTAAAAAATATAAATTATTACATACATCTTAAATTATATTTATAAATGATTTCATGTAAAATTTGAATATTTACAATTTAATGTATTTTTAAATTAGTTTTCTGTCATTTTTGTCAGGTTTTCAAATGCATTGTTTTAAACGTGTATATAAGATTTTATGATTCTGTCTTATTGTTTGTTTTCAGGCATTTTTAGAGATGGCATCGGAGGAAGCAGCTGTTACCATGGTGAACTACTACACCACGGCCACTCCTACTGTCAGGAACCAACCAATCTTTATTCAGTACTCCACCCACCGCGAGCTCAAGACTGACAATCTGACCAATCAGGTGATGGGCATTTTGTTGAATTTTTGAATGGTTTTCAGTGTAACTTACTGAGAGTCTATTTCATGTTTAAGTGTAACATTTTTAGGTGCACTGCTGCCATTTTATTCACTACATAAATATATGTTTTCACATTTTAACCTTTGTTTAACCAGGGTAAGAATCCCTTGGGGTTTGAAACCTCTTTTTCAAGGGCACCCTGACAAATTACTTTGACTGTTGAGAGAGAGCTCAGACAAAGCCACAGGCCAAAGTTGTTTTTTTTTATTTACTCATTATTAGTATGATGAAGTTTTGTGTTTATTTTGTTCTATTTCTGAAGGTTTTTTAAATTCTATTCAAAATTTAATTATACGTCAAAGCACAATATATTTTACATCTCATTTAAAAGACAATTTCATATTTGTTTGTTTGTTGACAGAGGGATCAAGTGGCACTGCAGACCATTAGTGCGGCAGCAGTGCATTCTGGGAACATGGTGTCAAGTGGGGAGGGGCGGAGCTTAGCACCTGGTCAGAGTCCCGTCCTGAGAATCATTGTGGAGAATTTATTTTACCCAGTGACGCTGGAGGTCTTGCAGCAGGTCGGCTTATTTAAACTAATATTATAAATGTTTGTTTTACTGTAGCATTATTTCTTATTGTGTGTAGTTTGATTATTGTGTGTTTGTAGGACTTCAGTGGTTTTTATTGAAGTTTTATTGTTGCTCTCAGATCTTCAGTAAGTTTGGCTCGGTGTTGAAGATCATCACATTCACCAGGAACAATCAGTTTCAGGCTCTGCTGCAGTTCAGTGATGCTGTGCACGCTCAACACGCCAAGGCTGTGAGTCACACGCACACTCGCTCACTTATTTGCATAACAATACTGTGCGACTGTGCACAGTTCAGACCCAGGAAGCACAGAAACATTTGCCGTTTTGCTCAGTATATTTCACTATCACTGGTAGAAATGGCTGTTGGTAAATCCCACCTCCAGCACAGAGTCAGGGTTTGGAACTCCGCCCCATTCACATCCCAGGTGTCTGGCTTCCTGTCTTTCAGTCCCTGGACGGTCAGAACATCTATAATGGCTGCTGCACGCTGAGGATCGACTTTTCCAAACTTAGTGTTCTCAATGTGAAATACAACAACGACAAGAGCCGAGACTTCACCAGAGCTGATCTCCCGACCGGAGAGATGGAGCACACCACTTTCGGTCAGATGAGCTAATGATACTAATGCTAACAAATGATACTAAATACTGTCAGGGTGTCTGCAAAAGCCTTAAACCGCATTTAAAATGTTCAATTTCAATTCGGTTTTATTTGTATAGCACCGAATCACAACAAAAGTCATCTCAGGACACTTTACAAAGTCAGGTCTAGACCTCACTGTTGTTATTACAGAGGGAAAACCCAACCAATCCCCCATTAAATCCAGTTCTCTAAAAAGGTCTTACATTTAATTTACAAAGGTTTGTATAATACATAATGAACATTTTAACTTAGATGAGCACATCCTAAGTCTCTTTGTGGTGGTTCTGAGTCACTGTGATTGGACAGTTACTGTTTTAGGGGTGGAGTTTAAGATGGTATTGGGTAACTGTGTGTGTGTGTGTGTTGCAGGTGTTGCTCTACCTCCATATGGAGCTGCAGCGTTCCCACCCACTTTCCACCAACACACAGGTGAGACAGAAACCAGTGTATGTTAGTGTACATTACTCTTGGCTGTCAAAGTTAACCTGATAGTAATGAGGTTTTTTTCTTTTTATTGAAACAAAGTAACACATTAACAAAACAGAACTGAACAAGGGAGACAAGACAACAGTTACATGACATTACCAAAGGATAGAGTGTTTAACGAGGTTGTAGTGTGTGAAGTGTGGGTATTTCCAACTTAAATAAATAAAAAATTACCAATAATAATGATGATAATCATACTAATAAAATCAGCTTGTTCCGTTTTAGACGTCAGTGGGAATGTGTGTGGTGTTTGGTTCAAGTTGAAATGTGTTAAAAATGGTTCCATGTGTCACAAAAAGCTGATAAACTGTTCTTGTGAGTTGATGCCATTTTCTCTAATGTGATGTATTCTGTCAGAAGGTTGGTCCAGTGGTTTATGTGGAGTGATTTGTTTGATTTCCAGTCTTGAAAGATTGTTTTCTTGGCAACAGCTGGAGCAGGGGTGCCCACACTATCGCCTTTTGAAATGACCAAGTCAAAACGATCGACCTACAGTTAAAATACTAAACATATATTTATTTATACCTTATGTAAACACAATATACGCTGGCACACCTTGCATAACTGCATGAACCTTAGGACACACTACAGTTCAGTACTTTTTGGTCATTAGTTTACTCTGATGACGTGCACTGAATGGAATCAGCCATTTAGCACACAAATGTAGCGACTGGCTCGAGTGAGGCAAAGTCTTGAAAGCATTTGTCAAACTCTGACTGACAATTGTCAATCTGCTTTGTGTAGCGTGCAATGTCAAGTTGCGCACAAGCTTTCTGTTGCATCTCCAGCTCTGATGCGAGGTTTTGGAAGTTGCCCACAATGTTGCATTTTTCATTTGAAATGATTAACTAAGCTGATTATATTGACACGAGATCTACCGACACTACCTTTGTGATCGACGTGTTGGGCAGCCCTGAGTTTTTGTATTTAATTGGTAGGAGGCCTATTGACACGAGATCGAGTAAGCAAAGTGATGGAGAAGGAGGGATTCTACAGCCCGAGATGGGCTCAGTAACAGGTTCATGTAAATTCCTTCTAACATCATTATTTTTTTGGCACGATTAATGCAAACACATTCTGTGATTATGACCCTCGACTCGGCCTGTAGTTGGGAAATGTTTTCAATACATGTTTATTTTTTCCACTTCTTTGAAATAGTTTTATTTTTTCTTTTCACAGTTTTAAATAAAGCTCTCTTATTTCTTCTTTGATTTAAATAAAGTTGTATTATTTCCAGTTTTATTTTTAATAAAGTACCATTTCTGTTTTAGTTTTATTAGATTTTTGCTGTTTAAATGTTTTTTTCCCCATTTCACTATTTAAAATTTGTTTCTGGTTCAAATGAAGTTCCACTTAATTGTTAAATAGTTTTTTCTTTTAATCTGTTTAAATAAAGTTCCTAGTTTTAAATAAAGTTGAATAATTTCCGCTACTCTGTTTTAAACAAAATGCTATTTTCTCTGCATTCCAGTTTCTTTTTTCCAATTTTAGCACTTCCACTTCTGTTTGACTAAAGTTGAATGATTTCTGCCTCTCAGTTTTAAATAAAGTCCTGTTCTTCCAGTTTCACCTACAGTTTTCTGACGACTGTGTTCTCAGGTCTGGCGATCGCGGCTGTCCCCGGCTCGTTGATGTCTTCTCCTCGTGTCTCACTACAGGTCGCGCCACCTGCGGTTCACTCTGTGCTGTTGGTGTCCAACCTGAATGCAGAGGTCAGAGATCAAGCTGTCACACAACAGCCGACCAATCGGAGCACTGCACGCTCAGCTAACTTTATTTACTGTTTGTCTCTGCAGAGCGTTTCGCCTCAGTGTCTGTTCATCCTGTTTGGTAAGAAACAAGAATTATTACATCAGCTGCTGAATATCAAACAAAATAAAAGTAAAACAGACTTTTCATTCATGGAGTTTTTTCATGGTCCTTACAAATCTGGAGCTTTGACTGAGGTCACTTTTGTATTTTATGGGCGTATTTGGGTTATTAATGAGTTTACAGTCTGCAGTTAAAACCAGTTAGGATTCATTTAAATTGGGATTCTTTTAAACTTACAATTAATAAATTGTTGATCAACTGTTTCCACTCCAGAACTGCTTTCCAGGTCTTGTAGGGAAGGATTCGGAACCAAATTCATACTTATTCAAAACATTTGAAAAGATAGTAATAAAGAAAGAGAACCTCAGTTACTTTAAGTCCATATAAAATATCTAACAATTGTCTATTTTACATCAGAAGGCATCTGGTAACTTTCTTCTTCTCGTCTTTCTGAAACATTTTAAAGTTGTTAAGTCGTTTAGCTTGTATTTTTGTGCTTTCAGGTGTTTATGGGGACGTTCAAAGGGTGAAAATCCTCTTCAACAAAAAGGAAAATGCCCTTGTTCAGATGAGTGATGCCACGCAAGCTCAACTTGGTCTGATGTTTAATTATTAATTATAAATTTAGGATTTTATCAGATACTGCCTTTTTGTTTAATAAATATATTTATTATTTTAGGCATTATTTCATAATACAAATAGTTTTTTTTTTTGTTTTTGCTTTAGTCACCACCTCATTTTAAACTATTTACAAACCAACAAACAGCTCAAAGGAATAAATTAAATGAATTACTACATATATTTAACTTTTGGCTTTAAAATCCTTGAAAAAATACAAAAAAATTAAAATAATTTTTGGCATTTGAATGTATAATTTTTAAACGTATAAAATATGTTTTATTTACCTACCCTATAGCGATGAGCCACCTGAACGGTCAGCGTCTCCACGGTAACGTAATTCGGGTGACGTTGTCCAAACACCCTGTGGTGCAGCTGCCTCGGGGGGGGCCAGGGCAAGAAGAACAGGTGCTGACTCGGGACTTCTCAGGCTCCGCCCTCCACCGATTCAAAAAACCAGGATCCAAAAATTTTAACAACATCTTCCCTCCGTCGGCCACGCTGCACCTCTCCAACATCCCGTACGACTTGTTTTCTTTACTGAACTTTATTGTGTCCATTTCCTACTATACCATAACACATTTAAGTATTTTAGTGACAGACTTTAAAATATTTTTCCACAATAAATTTCACAAAGTTTATTAGAATAATTATACATACACTTTTTTTGTGTCCTTGTCTCCTAGCTCCTCAGTCAGTGAGGAAGCGTTAAAGGACTTATTCTCCTCCAGTGGATTCACGGTCAAAGCCTTCAAGTTTTTCCAGTGAGTGCCAACAACACACCGGTAAAACCAGTCCATGTATAAATGTGTTGTGGCCACATTCTGCATCAAAATCATGTTAATGCTGTGATTATTCAGTTAAAGCCACAGTATGTACTGTGTTGTACTGTAGCATTAACAGATGGATGAAGAAATTATTTGGGGACGACAGAACTGATCAATCATTTGTAGGTCACGGGCTGACATTGTACTGCAGCTAAAAGTACCTCGTTGCCCATTTGGAAGTACTTTGGGTTAAAAAGCAAAACAGCCAGTTAACGAAGGTTCTATAGTCTTTAATTTAACAGATGAACAGACGACGGATCTTTATAACATTTGTGTGTGCTACATTTCCATCACTGATGTGAGATCAGCTGATGGTTTTACCTGTGATGGCGTCTGACTCCAAGTTGTTTAAACTACAGAGAAACATTCGGTTCACTCTGATTATTCAGTGGTGTTACATAGTGATGCCTCTTTACCTCATAAATGATCTTCGGCTAACAGCAGACAACATTGTCCCTTTGCCCGTTGGCCGCAGCGAGGTCACAAACCCAACGAAGGGGAGTTTCATTTTGTCCTGTCATCAGTTTAGGTCACAGAGTTAATGTTGGTTAGCGACAGCTGGTCTGACCCGCTGGTTGTTATTTGAACCAGAAACAGCGACGATCAGCAGAAGCTACTCGCTGAACAATTTCCACACTGAGCTTTGCTAAAAGGATTGTAGGTGTCACTGGCACAGCTGTGCGGCAGGCGAATATTTAAATACTAAAATTGAAACCCGATTACTTGGCCAACGAGCGACTATTTGAATACTGGGATATTCGGGTCCAGCCCTACACCCTCTGATCTTTCCTCCTCTCTCCATGCTCATGTGTTTGATAATGTCACTTTCTCTGATGTCACAGGAAGGACAGGAAGATGGCGCTGATGCAGCTGGCATCAGTGGAAGAGGCAATCGAGGCTCTGATCACTCTGCATGACCACCAGCTGGACCACAACCAGCACCTCCGCGTGTCCTTTTCCAAGTCCACCATTTGACTGACTCTGAGCCTCCTCTGGTCCACCCTCTGATCTCGGGGTCCACCCTCCCAGTCCACCCTCTGATCTCTGAGGAGCCTTCCCATAGACATGTAATGAGGGTCAAATGCAGTCAGGCCTCAGACAGCAATGTTACCTTGGGGCTCATCTAGCTCTTAGCCTGCTAGCTTTGAGTTTCTGTACAGTGGCAAAACAACACTACATCTGTTAAATTTACATTTAATGACCTTGCAAGTCAAACTTTGGCTGACATGAAGTGTCCATGTTTCTTTGGTCTTCAGATTCTGATATTTGGCACCCCGTCAGATACATGAGAGGTTTATGAAAAGTTTCAGTGATAATTACAACTACAGTATTGATGTGAAAAATATTTGCAAGTTAAAAATGTAATTAAAGTAGCTCCAGCTGTATCTTTTAGATTGATAGCTCAGAGCCTATTTGGCTATTAGCCTCCAATTTAGCTACAACAGCTGTTACTTCAAGTTTATCTTTTAGTGTGTTAGGATCGAGATTAATCGGCCAAAAATTTAGCTACAACAGCTGTTACTTCAAGTTCATCTTTTAGTGTGTTAGGATTGAGATTAATCGGCCATAAATTTTTTTTTTTAGGCTTAGCTTCAAGCTTGGCTGCAGTTTTTTAACTTTGACATTAGCTACAGTTTGTACTTTAGCTATTTGTTTTATCCTTAAGTTGTGCTCTTAGCTAGGTTGCTTAAACTGCAACAATATCAACATAACTGCAAGCAGAGTAAAGTAGTTTTTAATTACATTTTTAATTCTGAATCAGACAATATCTGTCTGTGCAAGTGTCAACAAACTTGACAAAATAGTTGCTAAGCCTGCAGCACTGCCTGTTACTGCTAAATCAGTTATTAATCCTAGAAAAAGTGGATTTTAAAGATGACTGATAAGGAACCACGCAAGCTGTGTTAACATAAAGCTGCAGCAAATTATTGCATCATTGTTTTTAATGTAAAAACAAGATCAATTTGTAAAGAAACTTCAAAGGAGCATAAACACCAACATTCTAATTGCCGGTGGCAGTCAAAGCTAACAGTCTGATAGCTCGTTAGCACCAGTGCTGAAGTTCTGGGGCCTCAGACTGCCGCGGTTTAATATTTTTCTCTGGACGTTTTGATTTCCCTCCAACCTGTTTATCTGACCTTTGACTTTTGGGGCCAAGTAACCAACCAGAAGTCACGGCTTTTGATTGGTTCATGGTGTGAAAAAATAGATGCCCCGACACACCAACGACCTTTCTGTGCCTACACACACTGTGACGTCACATGATGATGTCACGACAAAGGGGTTATCGTCATGGTTACAGAGCACATTCCTGAGTGAACTGAGCAACAGTGCATTGTGGGCTATCGTGATGCAGAAAAAAAATTTCAAAATAAATCCTGCCTGTTCAAACATAATGGAAAGATAATTAACTTTTTATTTTGTTCTTTATTTAAAGCTACTCAGTATGGATAAACATTTGTTCTTATAAACTGCCTGAAGTTTTTTTTTTTTTTCACAAGCTTTCAGAAAAGAAATATCAATATTAACTTATTTTCGTTTTTATTGTTGAAAATTTAAGTTCCCAAATGCTTTATATGATCTTTTGGTAAAGAAAATATCAATGAAATTCAACAAAACTTTGAAACCTAGCTGTTTTTAATATTTTGGATTTATTACAAACTTCCATGTTGTTACCTTCAGCTACGTGCCTTTTTCATTGGCATGTCACTCTGTATGATTAGCTGAATTTATAGTAAGGTAGAAACTTTATTAATCCTGAGGGGGGACTGTCTGGTCATGATTACACAATGTTGTTATTACAAAAATGATTATTACTCTAGTAGAATTTAGCTGTCTGCAGTCTCAACAAACCTTCTTCTGTGCCTTATTTTTTCCCGGTTATTCTGCTGGTTTTTGATTTTTTATTTTTATTTTTTACCTGGTGTTTGTTCAGGAGGAGTTTTGGTGGCGGGTTGTGTTGACTTTGGATTTATTTTATTTTTTGTGGTAGTTTTTTTTTTCACTAGTTAAAAATATTTTTGTTATACTTTGTATTGTTGGAATTTTTTTGGGGAGGGTTTTTTAATCGTGAATGTATTTATACTGTACAACATAATGCTTTTGACGTCCTGCCCACCTGTTGTATATGTGTGTATTTATGTGTATATTTATAAATATATATATTTGTGTGTATGTGTTGAGCTGAGCTGCGATTGGTTCATCTTCAAATATTAAAATATTTATAATTCAAACCCTGCTTGTGTGTGTGTGTGTGTACACACACATATATATGGTGTGTGTATAAAGCAGGTTTTTCTATTTTAGCTTTAGGCTTGGATTTGTTGATGCTGGTGATTTTTTTTAAACTGGAAACTAGCCAGAAAAAAAACAGGACTCTGCCGATTCCCAGTTTGGCCTTGTGACCTCTGACCTTTCTGCCAGAGCCAATCTGCATAAATGGCCATTCTTTCTTCGTGGTAAAAGTTCTCAGTTTTTAATTTCAGTGTTAGAGGACACAAATTAAATTTTTTTAATTTCTTTTAAATTCTCTTAATTAAAACTTCGTAAGCTTATTTCAAAGAATCAAAATGATTTATGTTCTTTTCAGTTTGCCTCCGTGATTAAAACAGTCTTTGTAATACTTTGGTTTCAGTGAAGTTGTATTTTTTTAAACATCTGAAAACATTTTAAAAGTAAATTTTACGATTACAAAGTCAAAATATGGTATTTGGGAGTGGAAGGTCAAACCAAGCCAAAGTTCATGTGCCTTCTCTTTGGACCAGGGCTTTTTCCCATTATCTCTTCCTATTTTAAATGGCTTTCTAAACCCTATCACATCTTAATGTATATAATGTTTCCAGAACTTGTTATACAAAACCTTTATTTTAGCATATAATGTAAATTTGAATTTTGTGTTTTCATGTTCTAAGTTACTTCAACTTTATTCATTCGAGTGCTTTTATAACTGTAGAATGACTACATAGCCATGGGAAGTCCTATGGATGCCATCAAACCACACCCCCTGCTTTGGTCAACAGTTGTTACATGACTGCTCCATTAACAGTTGAAACATTTTAGCTCTCTCTGCTGCCTTCGATACAGTGGATCATGGAATCCTCTTATCTCACTTGGATCTGTCTTTAGGAATTCATACTGCTCTTAACTGATTTAGATCTCATCTCACCAACAGACGTTTTTCTGTTAATATTGGTAACTGTTCCTCCTCTTCAACTATCCTCTCCTGTGGTGTCCCTCAAGGGTCTGTACTCGGACCAACTCTCTTTTCCTTGTAAATGCTTCCGCTGGGATCAGCTCTAAGGAAATATGGATTCTCCTTTCATTGTTATGCAGATGACATCCAGATGTATTTACCACTAAAAGCAGCTGGACGGATGTCTCTACAGCCATTGTTTGACTGTTTGACAGACCTGAAAGCATGGCTGGCACTGAACTTTCTAAAATTAAATGATAAAACTGAGTGTGTTTTATTAGTTGATTTGGCGAAATTTGCTGCTTTTATTCACGACTTAGGCCCCCTGGCTCATCAACTAAAGATGACTGTAAAAAACCTTGGATTTGACAAGCAGATCGACTCAGTCGTAAAATCTAGTTTCTTTCACCTGAGGTTAAGTAGTCATTTCTTTCTTTTAATGATTTTGAGATTGCAATCCATGATTTTATAACCTCTAGATTATTGTAATGCATTATACCTTGGTGTTAATCAGTCGTCTCTCACTCGCCTTCAAATGGTCCAAAATACTGCTGCTCATCTTTTAACAGATATTAGGAAATTCGACCATATAACCCCGGTACTGGCATCGCTCCACTGTCTTCCAGTCCGTTTTAGAATTGATTTTAAGTTATTGATTTTTGTTTTTAAGGCTCTTAATGGTTTGGCACCATCTTACCTCACTGAATTAGTGCATTGGCACAAACCTACAAGGTCCCTCAGATCATCAAGCCAGTTTCTTTTAGATGTTCCCAGGGCCAGATACAAACGTTGGAGTGACC